CCAAGGTGCAGCGAAGAGACGCGCCTGTCTCTCAGCGCTGTGCAAGTGCAGGGCTGTCTCCGGCGGTGCCTGCTCCTACTCCACCTCCACAACCTCAGCCTCGCCCTAGTGTGCACACAGATGCTTGGCTGTATCTGGGCACACACCACTGACAGCATATGGGAGCTTCTCCTGGCCTCCATTCTACCCAGGCTGGGGGGACAGTGGGGACTCTGCTTCTTTGCTTTGCCATTTCTGGACCACTAGGGTGGGTGAGCCTCTTTTGGCACGGCTTGGTCATTCTGATTTTAGTTTCTTTGAAAGGTGTTCTTTCATCCCTTAGCTTACTGTGCTGATATTTTAGGGGTTCCTTAGTTATTCCAGGTATTTCAATTTGTTGACTTGTAGTTCAGCATATTATATTTTGGTCTGTAATAAAGCACCTTTTTTTGCTTATGCATTGTCAAAAATCCATCCCTTTTTCATCTATGGATGACCTTTCGGGTCACACAAGAAATACCTTCCTTCACAGGGATGTTAAACTACCTGTTCATTTAGCTACTTTATATCTTCTTGTGTTCACTGAGGGTTTTCTTTAGGATGAAAGCTTTGCCACACTCATCGCAGTGTGAATTCTCTGGTGGTCCATAATCTTCGTATTAGAACCACAGGTTTTCCTACACTCCTTACATTTGTAAGCCTTTTTTTCCCTTTGTGCATTCTCTGATGTTGAGTAAGGTTTGAACTGCGGCTAAAGACTCTCCCACACTCAAGACAGGTGTAAGGCTCCTCTCCAGTGTGAACTCCGTGGATGTGAAACCAGTCCTGAACTCCGACTAAAGGCCTTCCCACACTCCTTACATTCGTATGTTTTCTCCCCACTGTGGATTCCCTGGTGCCGAATGAGGTGTGACTTACCACTGAAACATTTCCCACACTCACGGCACGTGTAGGGCTTCAAGCCAGTGTGAATTCTCCGGTGAACAACAAGGTTGGAGCTGTGACTGAAGGCTTTTCCACAATCCTTACACTTGTATGCTTTCTCCCCGTCGTGGATTCGCTTGTGTACTGTGAGGTTTGCGTTCTGACTAAAGGCTTTGCCACACTCGGCACATACATACTGTTTCTTTCTAGCCCGAACCCTCTCATATGACGGTGAGTCACACTGCTGGCTGTCGTCTTTTTCAGATTCTTGGTCAGTCAGGTCTGAGAGGGTTTTACCGTCTTTAACTGTCTTCCGTTTGAAGTTTCTGGTCTTTCTTCTCATTTTCTCCTGCTTGAAGCATTCCAGTGGCTTCTCGAGCCTTTTCAAGGAACTTTCCGAATGTTCGCTGCTTTGGCAACACCCCTATGCGATATGTTGACAGTGTGTGATGCCGTTTTCAGGAAGGCTGCTTTGGAATCAACCTTCTTCAGTCCCACTTTCGCCATCCAGCGAGGCTGCGTCCTCTTGCCAGCATCACAGCTGCTTGGTCAGGGCCCTCTGAGGAATGAGCACTCGGTTCCTGCTGATCAATGAGCTGCAGTGGAGTGAGGAATAAGAGGAAGCCTGCATGTACAGCGGCTTCACACCCAAGGGTAAAGCATCACCTCATCCTAACCGGTTTCCTCCGTGATAGAATGCCACACTTCCTTGGAGGAGACATCTAGTGAAGTGGTTTAGACCCCGCTGGGGATGCCCGTAAGCTACACTGCAGGCCTGGTTTCAGTCCTGGCTCCTCACCTTCTTTCTCCCTCCCTCCCTCTCTCCCTCTCTCCCTTTCTTTGATTTATTTATTTTTATTACAAAGTCAGATATACAGAGAGGAGGAGAGACAGAGAGGAAGATCTTCTGTCTGATGATTCACTCCCCAAGTGACCGCAGCATCCGGTGCTGTACCAATCCAAAGCCAGCAGCCAGGAACTCCCTCCAGGTCGCTCACACAGATGCAGGGTCCCAAAGCCTTGGACCATCCTTGACTGCTTTCCCAGGCCACAAGCAAGGAACTGGATGGGAAGTGGAGCTGCCGGGATTAGAACCTGCGATCATATGGGATCCCAGCAGGTACAAGGCCAGGACTTTAGCCACTAGGCCACCACAACGGGCCCTTACCCTTTCTAAAGTGCACCCTGGAAGGCAGCAGCAGGTGGCTTGGGTCCTTGAGTCCCTGCCACCTAGAGGGGAGAGCTGCATGGAGCCACAGGCTTTGGCCTGGCTCAGCCCTGTCTGCTGCAGGCAAAAGAGGAGTGAACCAGTGGACAAAGATCTCTGTCTCTCTCCCTTTCAAATAAAATGAAAATAAATCAATGCAAAGCACCATCATTTCCAGTACCATCGACTACACAGCTTAGCCTTTCTCCAACATCTGTGATTTTATCTCTGTCACACGTTAGCATGTAGCTGAGTTTATCCTCGACTCTTCAAGCCAGACCTCTGGGTTTCTGAGTCACTAGTATACTCTGGCTACCGGTTTCAGCATCACGCCAACAACCGTCCCTTTACCCTTTTGCAGAGTTGTCTTGATGGCTTATGGACCAGTGTTATTCCACAACACTGTAGAATCTACTTTCCAATTCCTGTGCCATTAGGCCACACTTGCTACTGAAACTGTATTAAATATATTGATTATTTGGTAGAAAACTCAAATTATTTTAAACTTAAGGCATTTCTCCATCATTTACGGTGTTTTTAAATAGACCATTTTGGGCCCGGCAGCGTGGCCTAGCCTTGAACGCACCAGGATCCCATATGGGCGTAGGTTCTAATCCCGGCAGCTCCACTTCCCATCCAGCTCCCTGCTTGTGGCCTGGAAAAGCAGTCGAGGACAGCCCAAAGCTTTGGGACCCTGCACCCATGTAGGAGACCCAGAAGAAGTTCCTGGATCCTGGCTTTGGATCGGCATAGCATCTGCCTGTTGCACGCACTTGGAGAGTGAATCATCGGACGGAGGATCTTCCTCTCTGTCTCTCCTCCTCCCTGTATATCTGACTTTCCAATCAATAAATAAATCTTTAAAAAAATAAATAAATAGACCATTTTAAAATCTCTGCATTAACAATTTAGATTTTTCGGGCCCGGAGCGGTGGCGCAAGTGGTTAAGTCCTCGCCTAGCACGCCCGGGATCCCATATGGGCGCCGGTTCTAATCCCGGCAGCCCCGCTTCCCTTCCAGCTCCCTGCCTGTGGCCTGGGAAAGCAGTCGAGGATGGCCCAAACCTTTGGGAACCTGCACCCGCGTGGGAGACCCGGAAGAGGCTCCTGGCTTCGGATCGGCATAGTATCGGCCCGTTGCACTCACTTGGGGAGTGAATCATCGGACGGAAGATCTTCCTCTCTGTCTCTCCTCTCTGTATATCCGCCTTTCCAATGAAAAAAAAAAAATAATATAAAAAAAAAAAATTAAAAAAAAAAAAAAAACAATTTAGATTTTTCTCCTTAAACATCTTGTGTGTTTTTCAATAGGCTAATGCCTAATATATCAGTCCCGTACAGGACGAATTTTTATTACATTCTCGAGGAACACATTTTTACTGCAGAGGAATCCAGTTCTATACACTCTGTTTTAAAACTACCTGTTTGATTTTCCCACCAAGTTAATTTGCCAAGTGTTCTGTCTAAAGAGATGTTATTTATTTTCATTTATTTGGAAGACTGAGTGAGTTGAAAAGAAGGGCTCTTTCATCCACTGGTTCACTCCCTAAATGACTCTGACAGCTGGAGTTAAGCCAGGCTGAAGTCAAGCGCCAGGAGCTCCATGCTGCTCTCAGCCCTAGCAAGTTCAAGGCACACTGGGAAGAAACTGTATCAGATGAAGAGCAGCTGGATGGAGTGAAAACTGCTGCTCTGCTGTGGGAAGCCAGCATCACATTCGGCCACTTGCCCTGCCGTTCTACAATGCCAACCCTATGTTCTAATCTCAATAAACTGTCCTGTCCCACTCATTAGTTCAAAACTGTCTACCAAATGTTTTCTAACATACTGCCTTTTGCCTCCATCCCTCGGTTGTCACTCTTGGCCACTGGCCTGGATTTGAAGTACCATGTTCAACAGCAGCAGGCTCTGAAGGCAGGATTGTTTATTTTTCTGACTTTTGATGAGCCCAAGAGGTGCAGAAAGTGATGGTGGATGGCTGGGGGAGTGGGGAGGAGTGTGGAGGAGGCAGCAGAGATGCTGGGCTTCTGGTCAGGTTAGTCAGCAGGAAGGGCCCTGGGCTGGCATTTGCTAGGGTCAACAGCATCTCTCATGGAGCTCAGCATCCCCTGGATGAGCACGGGTGATGGTTGCCCTTGATGTCCTCTGAGGAGACCTCGATTGAGAGCCTGTCTTGGCTTCAGCCTAGCCAGTCCCATTTAGAGATGGGCTTTCTATCTTTCAAAGAAGTTAAATAAACAATAATTTGAACAGAATGTGAAAGATGGAAGCCCTGTCTGGGGCGTGGACAGGCAAGGCCTCCACTCACTGCACAGATTAAACAATCTTCTGTCTCACACATGCTGGTTCAGAAAGGCCTGTCAAACTCAGCTCTGGCAGGGTTGTGGCTGGGAATGCTGCACTGCAGGGGCTGGGCTGTGGCGCTGCCTGCCACACAAGCAGCCCGTGTTGCAGCACGGGTTCAAGACCAAACTGCTCTGCTTCTGATCCCTCGTACCTGGAAAGGCAGTAGATGCTGACCCAAATCCTTCGGCCGCTGCTGCCCATATGGGAATTTGAGTTTTTTGCTTTATCATGGCCTACTCCTGGCCACGGAGGCCATTTGGGGAGTAATCGCGGTGGATCTCTTCCTGTCCCTCTCGCTCGTCAGCCTACCTTTCCAAATAAACAAATCTTAAAGCACAAGGTTGCTGAGGCCTGCGTCCTGATCGGCAGCAACCCGGCGAAAAGGAAAGGCAACAGACGCAGCCAAAAAACCAAGCAGGCGGTGGCTCGGCCGAGGGGCGCAGAGGGAGGTCCGAGCGTTACTTCTTTCGGTTGCCTTCCGTGGTCTCCCTGGACAAGGGCTGACCCAGAGCGGCCCGGGCACCGGCTTCCAGCCGCAGCGGTACCCGCGGGGCGCGCGGGGGCGGAGACGCAGCCGGGGCGTCTGCGCACTCCCGACTCGGCCGGGCCCGCCTCTCCCTCGGCGCGCACCCCAAAGCGCCCGAGCAGGCAGCAGAGCGCCCGGGCACTCGTGGCGAGGCCGGCCGGCGCGGGGCAGCCTGGGCCTGGGACCGACAGCGGTGGCGTGGCCGGCGCGGGGCAGCCCGGGCCTGGGACCGACAGCGGTGGCGTGGCCGGCGCGGGGCAGCCCGGGCCTGGGACCGACAGCGGTGGCGTGGCCGGCGCGGGGCAGCCCGGGCCTGGGACCGACAGCCGCGGCGTGGCGGGCGCGGGGGGCGGGCCGGGGGCGGGCCGGGGCGGAGCCGCGTCACGTGAGTAAACACGCAGCACGTGGAGCGCAGGCTGCGCGCCGAGGGCGGCGCCGGGGAAGGCCCGCCTGCTGCGGCGCGCTGCGCCGGCGCCCACGTGGAGGCCTGCAGGGGCGGCGGCGTCCTGGCCAGGCGCTGAGATGTGGACGGAAGAGCCCTGCGATCAACCGAGGAGGTGGGTGCTGGCCCGCTTCACAGATGCCTGCCGCCACTTGGCCGCCCAGAGGCACCCCCGCGGGCGGCCGGGCTGAGGTGCCGGGGCTGCGGCCTAGGACGCGCTTGGTGAGGCCTGGGATGCAAAGGTGACCGCCCAGGGGAAACCTAAAGGCGGCGCTCACTCAACCGCCTGCCTGAAGGTGGCTGGAACGCTGGCCCGGCTGGGCGGCTCAGCAGACAAGCACACCCTGTGTCTCCTGGGATGAGTGGTCAGCACGGCCCGGGGTACTCGCGGCTGGGCTCCCTCCTCTCCTGCTGACCGACCTCAATCCGGAGGCACTGCCTGCAGGGAGGGCTTGGGAAGGCCCCCTGGGAAAGGGCACTAAAGCGCCCCAAGGCTAATTCTAGGAGAACCGTGGCCCAGGCAGGAGCTGAGCTGCCAGACTCCAGGGGGGCAGCACACACCCTTTTTGGGGTTCCCATGAGATTGGACATCCCACTTCAAGGGCCTTCTCTCGCGGTGCACGGTAACCGCCGGCTTCCTGTGTGTGACCTTGGGCAATTACTGAACCTCCTCCCTCGTTTCTCGGTTTCCACTCGAAAATGGGGCCTGTGATGGACTTTTCCAGAAACGAGTGACTAAAAAAGAGAAAAGCGTTAACCAGGTCCCGACCCCTCACTGCTGCCCCACCCGGGGTTTGTTTTAGGAGTTCGCAGGTAGATTCCTTCCTGCAGGGGGCCGCCCTAACGCCTGCTCTGAGCCTGGGCCAGGCAGAGGCCAGCTCCTCCCCCATGGGTCCGCTGCTGGTTTCTTCCTTCCTGCCAGCCTGTCCCTGAGTGGTAAGGACTGTTCCCTTCCCAGGACCTTCAGCCATGTTTGTTGCATTCCTTGCTGGCCTGCTGCAGGCTCTGGAGCTTGGGTGCATGGACCCTGGGCACTTCTGATGGCAGACCAGGACCTGGGGCTGCGGAAGACAGGCCTGGGTCTTTGGCTAGTAGAGATCTTCCTGGTCCTGTTGGCTTCCCCTCTCTCCTCCACACTCACCCCTCTGTCATGTTGGGGCTCCTTGGGGGCAGTAGACCCAAGGGCAGGCGTTGGTGAAGCTGCTGTTTGGGATGCCAAAATTCCATACCAGAGTGGCTGGTTCAAGTCCTGGCTCATACGTAATCCTGAGAGGCAGCCAGGGATGGGGAAAATGCAGTGCATGGGTTCTGGCCTCTCTGCACAGGAGACTTGGGGCAGAGCTCCTAACTCCTGGCTGGCACTGCGGGCCCCTGGGGAGTGACCCAGCACATGGAAGCTTCTGTTACTCTATGTATGTCACTGTGCTTCCCTGTAGGAGGAAATAACGATCTTTTAAAAACAAAAGGAAGGGGGCCCGGTGCGGTGGCGCAGTGGTTAAGGTCCTCGCCTTGCACGCCCGGGATCCCATATGGACGCTGGTTCTAATCCCAGCAGCCCCGCTTCCCTTCCAGCTCCCCGCCTGTGGCCCGGGAAAGCAGTTGAGGACGGCCCAAGGCTTTGGGACCCTGCACCCGCCTGGAAGACCCGGAAGAGGCTCCTGGCTCTGGATCGGCATAGTATTGGCCGTTGCGCTCACTTAGGGAGTGAATCATTGGACGGAAGATCTTCCTCTCTGTCTCACCTCTCTGTATATCTGCCTTTCCAATAAAAAATAATAAAAATAAATCTTAAAAAAAAAAAAAAACAAGGAAGGCAGAAATTCAGACACAGGAAGAACTGGGAGACACCCAGAGAGGAAAATAGGAGGGAGTTGGAGGTGAGGGACCTGTACCAGGAGCATGCCCACTGGCTCCTGCTACAACTGACAGGGGTAAGGTGACCTCCCCACAGGGGTGTCCTGGGCCTGGCGGTGCTGAGAGGGCTCACAGTGGTAGTCGCACCCTGCAACCAGACAAGCCCTGCCCAGGGAGAGAGGATGCATCAGAGTGCCCGACCTCTGCTGGCACTCATTTGGGATGGCCTCTCTTGTTGTTTGTTTCTGTGTTTGGAACCCTTCGCTTTTGGGTAGTGGAAGGTAATTCCGATGGGCTTGGCCAGGGCCCTGTGCTGCCTGGCCACGGTGATGGGAGAAGGGATGTGTGTATGATGCGAAAGCTGTGTGCCTGGAAGCGTCTCCAGGATTTGGGCTGCTTCTGGGAGATTGTTGTTGGTGGAATGCTGGTGGGAGATTGGGCCACCGCACGTGGGGAATAAAGTGAGAGCGGAGTGTAACAGGGCTGGAAGGGACAGTCAGCATTCCAGCACTCACACAGCCATGCCAGAGGTGCTATGCCCACGCAATCTCTCCCTTAGAATCCTGTATTCCTTTTTTTTTTTTTTTTCATTCCTGGGGTTTGAATGGACTTGAACTTATTACTGGGTCATCTCACCCAACTGTGGCCAGCATTTCTGGAAGAGTCTTGACGCTGCAGGGCTCAAGCAGAAGGGGAACAAGATTGCAGGTCACTTCCTGAGTGTCCCGAGCAGGTCCTCCTTGCTGCCGTGACTCTCCTGGGTGGGGAGTCTGTGGCCACCCAGCCTACAGGAGACTGTGACCGTGTGCCGTCTCACTCTGTCTGTGGGCTGTGTCTGGGACCTGGACCGGAGGACTGTGCTGTGTGCACTAAGCCGTCCCTGTGGGCTCCCCAGTCCCCAACACTTGCAGGGGCACTGGCATGCCAGAAGGGGTGAGAGAGAAGGCACAGGAGATGCACTCTGGCTGCCAGGATGCAGGCTATGTGCCTACCGGAATGTGCAGGCGGCACATCTGCCCAGAGAATCAGGGCGGCCCGGCCTCGCAAGTTCCGTTATTTTTACTTTGTGGTGCGAGGGGCCATCTGTGCAGGTTTGCGCTCATCTGGAGCAATCCAGATTTGGGGATGTGAGTCAATTACGGGGTGACTTTGCAGGCTGTCACGCCAAAACCACCTCCAGGAGCTGGAGGGGCAGCACTGATATGTGTATTTATGTATATATTTTTAAAGATTTATTTATTTTGATTGCAAAGTCAGATATATAGAGAGGAGAAGAGGCAGAGAGGAAGATCTTCTTTCTGCTGATTCACTCCCCAGGTGGTTGCAATGACCAGAGCTGAGCTGATCTGAATCCAGAAGCCCAGAGGCTCTTCGGGTCTCCTACGTGGGTGCAGGGTTCCAAGACTTTGGGCTGTCCTCAACTGCTCCCCCAGGCCACAAGCAGGGAGCTGGATGGGAAGCAGGGGCTGCCAGGATTAGAACCAGCGCCCATATGGGATCATGGTGTGTTCAAGGTGAGGACTTTAGCCGCTAGGCTACTGCGCCAGGCCACAACACTGATAGTTTTATGGCAGCGGAGCATGCCAGGGTCCAGCAGCCGTGCCGGATGAGTGTGTATACGGGGCCTCTGGCAAAGGCTGTCAGCCACTGCAGCAAGGCTCTGCCCGGCCTCGGCTTAACCACTGACCCCCACTGCTGGCGGGACGGCAGGAGTGGGGACTCTGACTCCAGTAGATGCCTGGCTCCCTCCCACATGATCCCTGGGGCAGACCCATCCTCAGGATGTACTCATGACCTCCACTTGAACTGCAGCCCACCCTCAGCCTCCTGCCAGAACATTCCAGAACTGCCCTGTATGTGCTGTAGGTAGAGATGGCCATATTGGGAACCCCCTCCCCAACCAGGATCTTTCCCACAAGCCAAGGCTACCTGGGGAAAGGGGGCAACACTGGAAGTGGGGGTCAGTGAACTCATCCAGACCCCATTATCAAAATTCTGGTTCAGCCTGGCGGGGTGCTCGTTGGGACAGCTGACCAATGCTGGCACTGCGATGATGGAGTGTCATTCCTAGACCATGGGTGTCGGGGGTGTGTGTGTGTCACTGATTTGTAGCAGAAGCGCTTTGTTCCTTTCCCAGGGCCCATCTCCAAGCCAAATGTGTGGGTGGCCCAGGAGGAGGAGGAAGAGAGGGGCCATGACGTTTGGCACTTGTCAGTGTGGAAACTCTTTGGTGCTTCTTGACAACTGCTTGTGGTTTCTGAAGCGGGAGGATGAGGGCCACAGTGGCAAATGAGGTGTGACTTCTGGGTGTGCACCTGCCCCTGTAACTTACCCGGATGATAGTGAAGTCCAACTACAGACAAGGATTGTGGGAAGACAGCAAACCACAGTTAAGTCTTTATTTTTTTCCTTCTTCAAAATGAACCTGTATGTGAGGAATGCAGTTAAAGGGCCATGCAGCCGGAGGGTCCTGAAGGCAAAAATACGGCCTCAGCACATGTGCAGTCATTCCGCGCACAGGGCCTCAGTTCCCCTGTTGGAGAACCTGCACATGGGATCGTAGCAGGGCAGAGTGGAGAGAGTGGGCACTGCCAGGTTGTTAGCCTCGCCAGGGAGACCCAAGGCATAAAATGACAGAGGGGGGCTCAGAAGTGGTTTCAGGGTCTTTCACAGCTCCTGCTGGGCTCTGAGCTTGGACACAGGGCAACCTTTTTCTTTCTTCTTTTTTTTTTTTAATATTTTTGACAATCTTTACATAGTTAATTAGGGTAAAAAGGTTCAAGGGCTATAGGAAAGTGGCTAAGACTATTATTTCCATATTGTTTCCTTCATGTATCTCAGGTAAAGGGGGATATTGAGAAGCCCCACCCAGGGCTTCCACCCACCCCAGGTCCTGGATGTGGGGCATGTTCCGAGGTTCTTGCTCAAGTGGTTTTGTTAGTTCACCAGTTATGAATTGCTGCCAATCTCACCACTCCAAGCATGATGAGGTTGTTGAAGAATCCACTGATTGACACAGCCCATCATAGAGTCTCCGTTTGACAAGGCAGCCTTTTTCTTCATAGCAGATGCAAAAACTTGAAATCATTAAACAATTGGGCACATTCCTTGCAGGTCTCTGACATACCTTTTTTTTTTTTTTTAATTTATAAATTTTTCCATCCACTGGCTCACTCCCCAGATGGCAACAACAGCTGGAGCTGAGCCAATCCAAAGCCAGAAGCTTCTTCCAGGTTCTCCTATACAGGTGCAGGGTCCTAAGGCTTTAGGCCCTTCTCCACTGTTTTTCCAGACTACAAATGGGAAGCTGGATGGGAAGTGGAGCAGCTGGGACACAAACTGGTGCCCATGTGGAATGCTGGAGCTTGCAGGTAGAGGATTAGCCTATTGGGCCATTGTGCTTGCCCTGAGATGCCATTGTTAAAGGATAAAAGAAATGTCATTAATAAAATCCAGCTCACCGCCCTGGGTGCTCTTATGGGTTCCTGGCTGCCATCTACATGTGTCTCATCGCGCACGTGGGCTGTGTGTCCAGCTGCTCTGGATATCACTAAAATGAACCAAGCAGAACATTGCTCCCAGGGCCTTCTCTTTCCTGCTGGGTTTTCTGCACCCCCCGGGGTTAGAATTGGAGAGAGTGTCCAGCAGCGGGAGGCAGGAGTCCAGAGGAGGAGGGAAAACACCCACGCTGAGGTGGGAGTGTTCCTCTCTGGGAGGCCTGAAGCCCCTAACCAGACTCTTTGCAGGGTCCCTTGACTGGGAGCTGGTGACCCTTGAGGCAGCAGTGCTGGGTCAGGGGTGGGAGGACTGGGCTCTGTGGCTGCCGCCCTGGAATCTCGTCAGCCTCACCTCTGGCCTTGAGGCAGCTCAGCTGGCCTCAGCCTAGGGTCAAAGGTCAGTGTTGGTCCCTGGGAAAGCCCTGCCTGCCAGTGTGCTGCTGCCTCATGCATGTGCATGGGGGCCCTCTCCAGAAATAAAACTGCTGTGCATGGGAGGAAGCATGGGAGACTCCCGAGTTGTGATGGCTAACCCAAAAGCTCCCCACGCTGGTGTTTCCTCACCACCTGGAAGCCAGGAGTCTGAGCAGAAGCAGGATGCAACTGTTAAGCCTAGCGAGGCAGGGCACCCTCCCTCCTTGTGGGCGCAGAGGTCCCCGAGCTTGTACCCCACCAGGCAGATGAGACACAGGGGTCTCACAGATATTAGGGTTAGAGTAAGACACTCCGTAACTTGGAAATCTCAAACTCCAGGCCTGCAGTTACCAGGCCGACCAGAGACGCTGTGCACTTGTAGTGTCTACCTGTGGATGCTCCAGGGAGAAATAGGCTCCCCCTGCTGTTTTGCAGGAGACGCAAGACGTTCTCTGGTGCATGAGAACAGCAGCAGGAGAGCTGGGCCAGGGCCCTGCCGGCTGCCCCAGCTCACAGCCCACATTTTGCATGTTGTCTCCAGCGTTGTCAAACCCATTAGCAATCCAAGCACATCCAAATTGTGCTCCGACATTTCCCGGAAGGCAGGGAGAGGAGAGAAGGAGGCACTTTAGGCGGCAGCTCCTGTTGTGCAGACTGGACTCAGCAAAGGACACAAAGAACTTCCTGGGAGTGCTTGGGATTGTTCTCAGAAACCCACCTGACCCGAGTCTGGGTGGGGCTTGATTTGTTTCTATTGAAGTCTCTTTTTAATGCTAGTTCTGGTCTTTAAAAACAACCATCGAGGGCCAGCTTTGTGTCAGAGCAGATAAAGCTGCTGCCTGCAGGCGCTTGTGTCCTGAGCACCAGATGGCTGCTTCACTTCCAAATCAAGCTCCACACTAATGTACCTGGGGAGGCAGCTTGGGCCCCTGTAATCTACAGAGGAGAACTGGGTGGGGTTTTGGGCTCCTGGCTGGGCCTGGCCCAGCCGCAGTAATTGCTTCCATTAGGGAAGTGAACCACTGGATATGTGATCTGTTTTTCTCCTGCATGTCACTCTGCATTTCAAATAAATACATGAATTTCTTAAAAATTGTTTAAGGGAGGGAGCTACCATCTTGTCTGCTGGTTCAGTGTCCATACCGCCTCACTGCTGGGCCCGGCTGAAGCTGACTGCTGGTGTGTCTACACTGCCTCACTGCTGGGCCCGGCTGCTGGCTGAAGCTGACTGCTGGGGTGTCCACACCGCCTCACTCCAGGGCCTGGCTGCTGGCTGAAGCTGGCTGCTGGGTGCTTGGTGCGGGTCTTTTCACATGATGGCAGGAACCTGCTGAGCCATCACCACTGCTTTACAGCATGTGCAACAGCAGGTAGATGGAGCTAGGGTTGGAGATGGGATTTGAACCCGAGCACACAGATGTGGGATGTGGCTAGGCCCAATGCCCAGGCTGCTAATGTCAGTCTATTGCAAGTGAATGGTAGCATATGTTCTTCTGGGCGTGGAGGAGTAGGGAATGCATTGAAAGTAGCATGTGTGTGAGAATTCATCTGTTCATTTTTGGAGCACTTGTTTTGTGCCCAGCCCTCTGCTGGTTCACTGGTGCACTCCCAAAATGGCCACAGGGACCCACAGTGGGCCAATCCAAAGCCAAAAGCCTCTTCCAGGTCTCCCACGTGGGTACAGGGGTCATTCGTACTTTTTTCTGTTGTGTTCTCAAGCTAACAGTAGGGAACAGGATTGGAAGTGGGGCAGCTGATTGCAGGCAGCGGCTATACTTACTATGGCACCATGCCAATCCCCTTTCCCATCAATATTTTTTTAAAACCTGTTTTAAAACCTGTTCATATTCACATGGAGGAAACCTCGACCACAACTAAAAAATGAATAAACTCAATCTTCACTGTTGTCAGCGTGGATAAATCTTGAAGATAAGATGGAAAGAAAATAGTGTTATTGTGATGCAAAAAGATTGATTACATTTAGATAGGCTTTCTCCAGGCCCAAGAGATCTCTTCCCTCAGGGTAAGTACACCATGAGGGAAACTTGGGAACTAGATTAAGGCCCTGGGCGCTAACATCTTGCAGCAGGAAGTTTGGGTGG